TTCTGGTAGGAACAGAAGAAGGAACAATCTATAAATGCAATACAGCATATAGTAGTGTTTATATGAGAACTTATAATGAAGCACACAATATGCCAGTCTATCGGATAGTATTTAATAAATTTAATTCTAACATATTTGCAAGTTGTTCTGGTGATTGGAGAATAAAAATATGGGAAGATGATAGGATGTAAGTTTCAATTACAAATATAAACTTTCTAAATTTTAAAAATTTTTTTTGATGTATACAACCATTTTAGGGAACCCCTTTTTATGTTTGATCTTGGTGTTCCTATTGGAGATGTTCAATGGGCACCATATAGTTCAACAGTATTAGCTTGTGTTTCAAACGATGGAAAAGTTACAGTGTTTGATTTAAATATAAATAAATACAGACCAATATGCAGCCAACAAATTGTTAGTAGAAAAAAATATAAACTAACTAGACTTGCATTTAACAATAAATTACCATTTATTATAGTAGGTGATGATAAGTAAGTAACTATTTTGTAATTTCATTTAATAATAATGAATAATGTAACAATATAGTAATATTTTGATATTTTATGCTAATAGAGGTACAGTAAATACATTAAAATTGTCACCAAACCTCAGATTAAAAGTAAAGCCAACCAAAAAGCAACTTCATTTGACACATAGAGAATTAGAAATTATGAAATTAGAAAGATTGTTAAGTTTTGTACGTGAACCAGCTATTTTACCACCATCAAAGGATACAAGGATAGAAACCTAATTAAGCCATATTTTTAATTACAAAAATATTTGTATATATATTTTTTAATAAAATCTATTTAGATATGAAAATCAAATATTACAGGTAATAATGATAATCATTACTATTGTCTAATATAATAAAAAATTATAATATTCTTTAATTTTTTGTAAACATCAACACTTTATTAACATTTGCTATAACAGAAAATACATATTAATATCTATGTTTTTATAAACAAATTGGCACTAAATTTAGAATGATTTACAAATTTAAACTTACTATCTATAATTGCTATAACATGTCTTCTAGACTAGAAGCAATTATTAACGATTATGAAACTACTTTAATACATTCTTTTGTAAATAGAATTATTAAAGTTTTTGCAATTCCATACATACCACAACAATATTAACAATACCACACAGTTTCGTAATAAGTCTATTTTTAAAGAATAAGTAATTTCAGAAATAGTTTACATTGTGTGTGTGTGTGTATGTGTGTGTGTAACAATACTTATTGTTATTTAAATTTAATATATATTAAAAAAGATAATAAGAGAGTATAAGTATAAATATTGAGTTACATATATAATAATAATTAATATTATAAGTAATATATACATGGTCCAAGTGAAAGTATAATATTCTTATAAACAAAAATTTGATTAACACTTTTAAAAAGCTTTAATTTAATAATATACACAATTTTCTGGAAACTTAATACAAGGTATTATTATTACATAAATCTTATTTTCTGATATTCCAAATGTAGTAAGCACTGGCTATCACAGTGTCTGTTACATTTCCTTTTTAACAAAGAAATATTTATATTATATAAGTTGTTCTTATATCAAATAAATTATTAAAAAATATTAAGTTTAACTTACTATCCGGATATATTATTAAACAAATCATTTTTTTAAAAGAAAAAATTTATATGTGAAAAAAAATTACAGTGAGCATTAAATTTAAAAATATATAAAATTGAACAAAAATAACTTGAAAAAATTATATTAAATAATGTAGAAAAATATAAAAAATATGATCTCTACAAAAATAAACAACTTTTGCATCTTTGGCACATTAATTTGTTATATAAAACAAAATAAAAATAAAATATTTAATACTATAATTAATACTGAGAATTTAATTAATATTAAGATTTAATATTATGCAAAAGATTAAAGTTTTACAAAAAAGATACATTTTACAATTGTAACTTTCTTAGGAACTTGTGATATCTGACAATTCATTTCAATGAACTAAAACATTTTTTATCAATAAGTAATTATCTAAATACAATTAAAATTTAAGTTGGTATCTATATATTTATTATAAATGTTAGAAAATATATAACATCTACATTTTTAAGAATATTTTATAGAATCCTTCCTTCTGTTCTCACTAAAGTTCTAGCCAAATTAGTAATTCTTAGTTTAGCATATAATTACACAATCTTATAAAATATCGGAAAATAATATTTCTCATTTTGGAAATGCTATAATGTATTTCTAATTCAATTCTTTTATGAAGTATACTAATTCGGATGATTAAAATTATGAGAAAAATTTAAACCCCTAATATATTAGTAGATAAGGTAATTATGCATCGTATAATTATTAATTATGTATTTTGGAAAAATCACTTTTCTAATTTCATATATAATTTAATTACTACGGAAGATTAATTTTTCGTGAACAAATTCTTGAAAAGAAATTTTACCAGGGAGTTCTGGATTTTCTATTACACCCCTAAAATATTTTAATTCTAAAAAATCTCGAATATTGTTTGGACATGGTACTTGTCTGCCAGCAAATTCAATACTTGACATTGGATGAAGAAATTGCTCTGGAAAATCTTTATTATTTAAAAACCATGCATCTTTAACCATAGAGCCATTCCTTGCATAAAATGGAAGTATGTTTACGGTTAAATGGTTTATCTTTGAATACTGTACTTTAAAAAATTCCCCTTCTGTTGCCTTTTCCCAGAAAAAACCATGATTGTCAGTAATAGGTTTATTCATGGCTTTAATTAACCATGGTGATCTCTCAAGATCATCACGATTTACTCCTATTTGTACTTCATGATCCCATGGTAAAATATCACCATTTCTCATAGCACCAAGTAAAGAGCCACTTTCTAACCAAAACCTGATACCAACTTCTTCTAATTTATCAAAAACATGATGAGCAACTTTTCTCAATCCTGAGAGGCAGCAAGGTGGAGTGTATCGATTTTGATAAAGATAAGATGGAATACCATTTACCACTGATCCAAAACACCTATTACTTTCTCTAGAACAGCCATACCACTCTATAGAATTGGAAGCTCTTATAACTTTTTTAATTCCCAATTTTTCAAACATAGACCGTTCGCGACTTTGATATAACTGTTGAACTTTCCATAGGGATTGCTGAGTTTTATATAATGATTTTCCTTCATTGAAACGACAATTCGACAACATATGAATCTGGTAATATGTAATAAATTCTACTAGAATAAATTTTATTAACATATGTTTATATATCAAACACCGTATGACTGTAGTATTTGAATTATAAACAAGAACAGAAAAATAAAACCCTTAAATATATGAAACTAATAAAATGTTTTTATGGTTAATATAAAACTGAAAAAAATAATTAAATACAAAAAGTACAAACCTTTGCACCCAATGCAGTTGTTTGAATGTATAATGCATCCGTGAAAGGTAACAAGAATGGATCAGTTAATTTTTTTAATAATTTTGTCTCAAGCATTGTAGCATGCCTTCCATTTATTCCATCACATTCATTGCCTGTTGTATATGAAAACTTGAGACTCCATTCTTTTATTTTTAAATCTATATTGACACAATTTAAAGTTACACTTCCTACTGGTACACTTACTACACCTAATTTTGTAGCTTGAGATACAGTCTCCTGAAAAAAATTTTATTTAATGTAGTACTATTATGTAGTAAATTTTATTTAGTGTAGTACTATTGTCTATTTTCAATTAAACTAATTAAATTAATTACTGTTACTAATTAAACTAATTACTGAAAACAATGAAAAAAAAACGAATTTACAATGTGATATAAGGTAGTAAACTTACTTGCATGATTTGCTTGGTAGAAAGTCTACTACCATCAGGTAAAAATAAAACGTACTTTGTACGTATATAAAATAGTGGATTTCGTTCATCGTAAGATTTATTGAATTCCGTTTGCAAATTTATTAGTTTAACGTTTCGCATGCTCTCATTTGCAAAGTCCAATTCCAGCGGGGGATATGGTAATTCATTGCTTACTATTAAAATCGGTATAGTAGGGAAAAAGGTTAACACAGACTCTACAGTGGAAGTCACATCATTTTCAAAGGTTTCAAATTGCCGTATAACAACAGTTACTAATCGAGATAATCGCCGATGAAACTTTTGCGGTGGATCAGGCGTGACGATACTTGGTGTCAACAACCGCAAAGTGTTTTGCGCCGAGAATAACCTCCATATTCTATGCCATACAATAATATTACCTAGTAGTGCGAGCACTAATAACGTTCTTACAAACTTAAAACGCATAATTATCGCATATTTTGCGAAATCATTGTAGATGAAATCTTCTTTTCTTACATCATTCTCATATCACAATAGCTCTAAATTACGTTTAAATGTTTGACAAATCACAATATCTCTGCAAATTTCAATTCACTCCTACTCAGCACTGCCAATATATCATTTTCAGGAATGCATTCCTACCATAAGAATGATAATTGAAATAATCGGATCATTATATTTAATTGATATTTATTGTATTTTTATAAGTTCCTAATACTTTCAACTAATCTTTCGCAATAGGAAACGAAGATTTTAATTTGTCGTCGAAAACTATCTGGTGATATTACAAATGTAAACGTTTAGAGTACTGTCTCGCTGTTGTTTTTACATAAACGTCAAAGTCTACGTTCGTAGCATTCGGCGTTCCAACAAAATTAGCAGGAAGACAGGAGTCGTTCCTTGATCGTTGTGTTATAATTTTACGTAAACAAGAAGTAGCAAGACTGTGGTTCAGACTTTGACAAAAAGAGTCTTTCCACCATGCCTCTCCACCGTTATACTCATGCAGTTCTGTGCAGAATTCCTCTCTCGCTTCGCACAAGAGGCGAGGTCACGTTAGACGAAGCAAGAACACAGCATTTGGCACTTGCTCAACTTCTACGAGAGCTCGACATCGATGTTGTTGAAATGCCACCGGATGAAAATTCACCACTCTGTGTTTTCGTAGAAGATATTGCAGTCGTGTGTAATGGCATTGCACTCATAGCTCGGCCCAATGAATCGTCGCGCTTAAAGGAGGTATACCTCTTAAATCACACATTAATTTATAAATTTCTTACGAAGTTTCTCTCTTGTTGCATTGTGATTATATTGGAGAAATAATAACATTTTAATCTAATCCATTTTTACATTGTTTAAGATAAAAATCTAAATTAGTAAATATCATTCTAAATATCAATATATATCAAATTTACAAAACATTAATTGAACAATTATTTTCTTCATATTTGCATAGTAAAAATACAGTTTTAATGTATTATTGTATGTATTGACATTGTTATTGTGTAACGTTTCCAATGGGTCATCAAGGCCAAACTAAAAAAATGATGATCTAATTCCAGATTGAGACAATTAGAGCTGTTTTAAAGAAGGAGTTAGAGATTCCACTTATAGAAATAGCTGATAAAAATGCTCGTCTGGATGGAGGAGATGTTCTATTTACTGGTAAATTATATTTTCAATATTAAGTCAACAAAGACAAAACCATATTATTAAACATAGGTAACTGATTCTTACTATTACAGGTCGTGAATTTTTTGTTGGATTGTCTCATTATACAAATGAAGCAGGTGCAAGAGCAGTCGCAGCAGCTTTCCCGGAATATCCATGTGTACCTATTAAGGTTAGTCAATTATTAAAAGTTAGGTTCAATATTTGTTATAATTTATATATAGTTCTTTGCTTTTTAATATGTATTATACTAATCTGTCAGTTTCCTATTTTATATAAATCTATTTCTATCTATGTTTATTCTAACAACATATAATACTGCATGAATCATTCTTGTCAAATATTTCTCGAAATAAGAAAAAAACAATATTTGCATATTGGACCTTTATTTAATATTTTTCAACATTTTTGCACTATAACATAATATGTATCATTAATGAGTATTATGTATTATTAAAAAAATTAAAACGTGTATTGTAATCATAATAGAACTTTTTTTATGTTTTTAGTATTTACATATTATAATTTTTATTATATGTTAAAAATTAGTTTAATGAAATCATGTAATAATATATGGATAATTTAATAATTTATAATCTATGTTACTAGTTGCTTATGAATCATATATTTTTAATTAAACTAATAAATGTTAAAACCATTTATATTAAAAGGTCTTATTTAAAGCATATTTTAATATTCATATGATATAAGCATAAATCATATTATATATGTCTATAGATACTCATACACGTATAGGTTATACAATATAATTGATGAAAATGAAGATTTAGATCAAACAACTTACTTTTCTAATATTCATTTAAGGTGGGTGATGGTGGTGAAGAGATGATAGTGGAGAGTCTTACCTCAGCCCCAATTCAGGTTTGGGTGTATTAGACTGACTCTCTTTTGCATATTATATTGAAAAAAATCTCACAATTTAGAAACACAATTTTGCACGATTTCAATAAATTATATTTTTTACAGTTATTGATTACAGATTTTTAACAGAATACTTTCAGATGGAGTTTTATATAGAATGTGAGTTATGGCTTGGTGCAATTTTGCACATGAGACGCATACACTGATACACGAGATCATTTCACCCTCGCACGTGATTCATATTTCTTTGCATAAATTTGTCAGATTGCAGAATTTTATACAGTGCAACTTCAATTAGATATAATACATTATATATTATATATATGTACATGTATTTGATATAATATTATATTAAATACATATAAAGAAATGTCTACAATTATGAAAATTTCATAATTGATTGAAGTTACATTACTTATTGCTCTTATAATGCACATTAAATTCATAAATCAAAATCAATAATTTTACTTAATTATTTTTCTTATGCAATGCTACAGAGAAATTACATATAGGATGTCCCATCTAATTTGATTATATTAAATATCTTGCTTATTTTTTTATATCAAACAGATCTTTAATGTCAAGCATTGGATCAACAATTTATGTCAGATATGAATCAAATATTTGATAACTTGTATGTATCAGATCTTACACTTTTAAGTTTTTTTCTCTGCAACATTGAATTTATCTTGATCATACTATGGCACAATATAAGGAAATCATATAATTCAATTTAAAAAATTTTGATGACTTTGAATAAATTTTTTTCTATTATAAAAAATGAACGAGATATTTAAGATTCTCAAATTAGCAATTCCTATGTATTCAGTATATTTTCTTCTTAGTTCATGTATTACGTTTATGACAAAAGCTAGCTAACGAAAATGATACTTAAATCATTTAAATACCTATTCTGTTCTAACGAAAGTATAATTTTTTGATCATTTATATATGAAATAATCTGAGTATTAAATATATATAAAGAAACGGTTAATAATTTGTACATTGTTGCATTTATGATTATAATTCATATATTTTTTTACATTGAAAATATTTGTATTTTTATCTAATTGTTGTTTATAGGTTGCTGAATCCAAACGTCTCAAAGGTTTAGTTACAATGGCTGGTCCAGATATTATTTGTGTAGGTGCTGGCAAAGAATCTCAAGAAGTTTTAAAGGTATTTATTTGTAGTATTTATAATTTAAATATCATTATTTTTAACATTCATTTATGTTTTTTTATTTATACATTTTTTTATATATACATACACATTGTTTATAATACAGAGAATTGAGAGAGAAGCAACTTATAGTTACCAGACATTAACTGTGCCTGAAGATGCTGCAGCCAATGTACTTTATGTGAATGGAACTTTAATTCATCGGTCAGAAGATGAAATTCCACAATCAAGTAAAGTTTTTGCAGAAAAAATTGAATTTCCAACCAGATCTTTACGCATGTCTGAATTAGCAAAGGTCAGTTCTGGTTTAACTTCTTGTTGTTTATTGGTGCGTAGACCGAGACATATTCGCAGTATTTAAACTAAGAAACAGAGACCAGGAATCGATGATAACCTAGCAAACGTGTTAAATTGCTAGAATCATATATTGATGTGAATCATAAAATCAAGAATTTAAATATTTCTAATAAGAAATATTACCAAAATGCTGTGCAAAAAACTATAATATTGACGTAGCACGTACGTCGTTCCAAAACTTTAATAACTACTTTAATGAACAGAAAAGATTATTTTATAATTACTTTATAAAAAAAAAAGATTATCTTAATATAAAAGAGATTTTATAATTAAGCAAATTAATATATTTGATTTTAACGTATTTACATTAGAGATAATATATTGAGATTTTATTTACCTAATTTGTAGACTTATAGCATATGAAGTCATAATTTTTATCTTGCCATTTATATAACGTTTATCTTTCCGTAATAGTTTTAACTTTATTACGGCAGCATTTATAAATATATATATTTTATATTTTTATGATTTCAAGCATATTCTATGATTGTTTCCTAATTATTATTTTATATTTTAATAATATACAATGAACTTATACATGAACTCCTACAACAAATTTAATATCAAAATATAGTAATTTATAATGCACAAAATTTCTTTTCTACAAAGACTAAAAATATTAAAAAAAAATTGATTTATAAATTATATGTGTAAATCAAAATGAAATTCTGATATAGCACAAAAAGAATAAAATCATAAAAATAAAATAAAATTATAATAAATAGACTACATCTTCTACTTTTTATATTTTGTTTTATATTGTTAAAAGTCAGTTATTAAAAATCAATCATCAGTATTCTAGTATCTTTGAATGCATTTGCTACTAGTCTATAAAAAGTGTTCACCTAACTATTCAAATAGAATTCTTCTATTCAATTATATACTACAGAGTTAATGATACATAAAAGCACTGATAGTTAAGAGTTAATGTGCTGATTCACATTATAGCAAAGTTACATGATTAAGAGTCTACTGAGCAGAAGTAAAATTATTGTATAAGAACAAGTTTCACATATACACAATACATATTGCAAGCTTAAACTGTTTTGGCGGATTTACAACAACTGTAGGATATTAATACTGTTAATAGTATTATAATTTTTTGATATTCTTTAAAAGTCATGACAATATTAAAATAAGTTTATTACACTTTTATATATTTTGATATGCATGTTTCCCCGTTAATCTGTATTAAACATTTCTTTTGTTTTTGTAACTCATATCTCCTTTTATTACATTTATGTAAATTTTTAATTTGAAAACAATTTCACAACGAATGCTTTACACATTGTAATATTAAATTTAGTATCAGTCTGTATATTTCTTCAAAAATTTTCCAGTGTATAAGACTACAAAGTTGTAAACAAAATAAAAAATATATGCTAGATGTTATAGTCTGGTTCTAATTAATTGACCTATCCAAGTGAATGGAAGAATATGTGAATGTATTCACTACTAGTTCATTTAATAAAATAATAGATTTATTTTAAATATGTTCTCACAAAACATTTGTAATGATTCATTAGTCACATAGGAGCGACATAGTATAATTCCTGCTACTTCAATTTTAATGCTAAACCTAGGACTAGTATTTTTTCTCAAATTTTTATTTTAAAAATTTATATTCACCTATTATAATTATTTAAAATATTTTATATAACGATTGTCAATTGTTTGTTAAGTAAATAAGTTAATCATAATGTATATATATAAATATTATCAAAATTTTGAATAATTGTAATTAAATACGTATGTAAAACATGTTATTGGTAATTGTACAATTTACAATGATATTGTTTATTTTAAGTATTTATAAAGATGTAGTTACTTTTTTACAATTGATGGATGGAAAACATTTCAAAATTTAGAAACAATTATCGTAGAAAATGTATTATTTAAAAAATAATATAGTTGCTACATTCATTGTATTCGAATATATTGAAAAATTGATCCTTAGTAAATGCACATGTGAATATTGACTCATATAAACATGTGCTGTTTTCAGTATAAAGGCCTTATATTGTTGTCTGTCTGATCGTCGGCAGTTCTATTTCTCGTTTTTATTAATTCATTTGTATGCGTATGTATGATGTTTAAGTAAAACCTTAATTTCAATAATTATTGATGTCATAACGCATAAGTCTTCTTATTTGTTTCTCATTATTAAGAGTAAAAAGTTAAAACAGATGTATGATTGCCTCGGACAAGTAAAAATGGTGGCATATCACGTGTCAAAGTTTCAAGCCAGGCCATATAGAGAGGTGCTGATACAGCACCTTTACGAGGCATTGGCAATGTCCTGAAAGAAGAATAGAGTAAAACAAAAATAATTTCAGAATATAAAGAAAGGAGACACTAGAAAAATAATTTTACTTATTACATTCACTTACATAACTACTAAATTAGCATCCATTGAATTTTCAAGTAATAATTCTCTTAAACGTAAATGCCTATTTGTTTTTTCTTTCATAGCAATCAATTCAGAGTCTTTAATAATATCTGAAAATAAATCGATTTTTATGAATTTTTCAGAATTTCTGATAATCGAAATACGCATATATTTGACATAATTAAATATAATTATAAAAATATAATTGACATAACAATACCATCATCTGGTTTTGTATTTTCCGTTTCTTGGAAATTTACTATTAGAGTATTAAAGAAATTTTTAGTAGTATCTTGTGCTGGCTTTGAAATATCTGGTATCACTTTCAATGCGGAATAATCTATTCTGAATTTCGACAAAAGACTTGCCATACTAACAATAAAACAATAACAATATTAATAAATTTCTTTTAAGCTTTTTATTTATAGGAATACATGTTATGTACTTACTTTCTTTGTTCATATTCGAGCTCTGAATTTTTATTAGCAAGGGCAAAAACTCTTAATTTGCTATTAGACCAATTACGTCTTGTACTAATTATATAAGGTAGCAGAAGGGTTAAACCACCATCATCATACAACCACCATACATCGATTGTACCCCTTTTTTGTTTACGTTGGAATTTTGTTACGGTGTTAAGTATATCTTTTGCTACAGGTAGAAAATTCTGTCGATTTTCACGTTGATCCTCCGCGGTTGGATTAGGATATTCATTAATTACTTTAGACCTTCTTGGAGCCGGACTTCCAGGAATAGAAATGTCGGACGTGCTACTAGCTGCAGAATTAATTAATATTAATTTAAGAAGTACGACAGGGATTATAATAAATATTCAATGTTTGTGAAAGTGCTTTTTTTAAATATCCTTTCAAACCTTGGCTAAGTTGAGAAAAACTTTGATTCCCTGGAATTGTTTGCGCATTTTTTTTTTGTTCTTCAGCATCTCCTACAACTGTGCTACAATCTAAACCCTCACTTATCCGAAGAAGTGCTACTGCTATATGCATGTCCAAAGCTTTGCTACATAAAAAAATGTTTTCATTTTTTAAAAGCTTCATTTCCTTTAATTATAATATCATAATTGTAAAATACTTACTGCATTACATTAAAGTACATGTTCAAATTTTCTCGAGGACAAGTTGCCCAGTCTTGTTTGTAGCCCATCAACAAAATATTGGGCCTCATCTTTCCCAAGCCAGAGGCTTGCAAAAGAGAAGTAGTACCATCTTGAAAATTTGCACCATCCACCAAGGAATAAAATGCCTTAATTTTATTCGCTCTAAACCAAGAAGTGCAATTCGCGATCATGGAGTTGCGCGTTTTATACGATATTGGTGTCTAAAATACAGGAAAATGTATTAAACATTTATACAAAAAATGTATGACATTTTTCACTGAAAAAAATACTAGTACCTCGATAATGTGGCCACAAATAAATAAGCTATTATTTTTAGTAACATGATGTGCAAAGTCAATGAGCGCTGATCTTGCACTTGGAGTGCCACTGAGTACCAACAATTGAGGTCTGTAATTCTTAACATGTTCTTCAACTCTATCTAATTGTTGGACAGCGTTTAAGGCGTTATTGTATGTTTGAGCTTGTGTCGTAGAACCCCAATTTACATCTACAAAATAATTTTTATGTCACTGTGACATTATCATGTTGTATTAAATGCTATTAAAATACTACCTGGTTTTCTGTACGAGACTACTAAATAAAGCGCTAAAACTACGGATAATGTGATCAATGCTGTCCACCATGAGATCAAGAACATCACAGAAACACAGAGAATAGCACCAGCAAGGCTTAACCACATGTTGTAATACTAGAATAAAAAAAAAAAAAAAATATAGAAAATTCTCGTTAAGAGAATAATTTAATGCAAAGTTTACCTTAAACGTTGGTCTCCAACCGATCGGTTTAGCCAACGAAGCATGAAACGTGCTAAAGTTAATCAGAGTATAGGCAGCTAGAAAGAAATTTGAGATCAAGGGAGCAATGGCATTCAATTCTCCTAAAAGTGAATCGATATTTTTATTCTAGACAATTAACAACAGTGAATAATGTTCTTATCTATTTAAAATAAGAAAGTGTAACGCTAACCAATTAAAATGAAGCCAACAGCGATTACAAATGTAAGAAAGTAACCGCGAATTGGTTCTTTATCTTTGTCACCGCTGAACCACTCTATTCCAGGATACAATTTATCAAGACAGAGTGCCTGAAATACTTTAGGTGCGGAAACAAGTGATGCTAAGGCACTTGATAAAGTAGCTGCAAAGCATCCAGCATAGATAAATGGTCCAAACGCAGAGACCAATTCAATCACCTGAAACATTCATATAATTGTATAATTGGCAGTATAAAAATTAAATATTTATTTGCATCGTTTGCAAACATTTAGAAGAAATACCTGAAAACTATTCTGGCTACCATAGTTACATTTCCTCCCTGTACAATTAAATTTCGTGCCATACATGCTCCATACTATTTCGCTGGTGTTTACAGTAGCAATTGGAGACTCGGTTGTTTCGTTAGTCGCGTTTAAGCTCGATAAGCTAGTATATGAACTATTGAAAATGTTCCACAGATCGGTAACATTGCCAGACGCATCTCGCACAACTGCACCGCCCACCATAAGCGCCATAAATATGTACGATGTAGTTGTTAAAAGAATGGCCAACAGTGTCCCTTTGGGAATAGCTGTTTGTGGGTCCTATTAAAGACACAAATTCTTCATATAGATAAATAAATAAATCTACGTTCATCGTCAATGCTGCAATTGAAAGAAAATTATTGATTTCCAGACAAATGACACGTTGTTACGCAACATTGAAACACGATCACTTAAATCCGAAAGATTGATTAATGGAATCTTAAAACGTTAGAGAATGTTCCCTATAAATGAAAGGACTGAATCACCTTCAAATCACCGGATATATTCGCACCTGCCAGGATACCTGTAGCCGCAGGGAAGAAAATAGCCAAGACTGAAAAAAAATTATGCTCCACCCCCTCGCTGTATCTGTAGTCTGAATGAAAGTTCTCTTTGAACAGATCAGCTGTGGACGTAAGATAAAAAAAAAGAAAAATTATAAAAACCTGAAAATATTTTACTTGCGACGCACACTATGTATGGTCGTTATTTAATTAACAATTTACTCTTGTCTCTTAACAACAAAAATTACTATCACAGGTATTACCGTTGTATCCTATAAAACCTTCGGCTCGTTCCTGATCATCTTTAGGTCCCATAAAGGTGCCGATCATGAAATCGACGATAGCTAAGAGTAAAATAACCAGCAAACCAATCTGAGCCTTTGCCTCCCATTCCAAACCGATCATAACGATCAAGAGTAACAGGACTATCGTGATACAGCCTGTGTGAAAGGAAGCACGTAAGAAATTCTGCTCGTGTGGAAGATCGTGTACGATCTCTTATACTGACCAATAATCCTGATGTCCGTATTGTCACAATCAACGATACAAATCCCATTTGCCTTCAAACAGTCGACCATGCTTTCGCAGAATCCAACAACGTACATCGAACAGGCGACTGCGTTTGCTAAAGAAAATATAAGTCCTATAGATCCCCCGAATTCCGGCCCGAGTGATCTGGAAATCATGTAATAGGTGCCACCTGCGGGAAGTAATTAATCTTATCGGCTGACAGCAGAGCAATAACAGTGGAAACTTAAATGTCGTAAACGTGTAGATCGACATGGACACGCAAATTCTCGAAAAAGAAAAAAAAAAAAAAAA